AGGTAGTTTTCCCAGAATGCACATCTTCCTCCTCTTCGCCCTCCTCGTTGCTCCGGTAACAGCGGTTCCCGGTTGTCACGGCGACAGAGATAAGGACCACCGGAGACAAGAAAACTGCACCGCGGCGGGATTCACCGGAATACCGGCGGAACTTGAACCAGCGACCAAGGTAACACGAGAGGGGAACTCTAACTTCAGTGTGTGAAATTAAACAGTTTTATACACAGATAAATATGGTCAAAGTTAAAAGTGGACATTTTGAAAGAGATTAAACTGTAGAGAAACTTATGGCAAGATAAAAAAAGTGAACGAAAAAAAACAAGTAAAAATATTTATAATAATGATGAAAATATAGTTAAAAAAAACAATCCAATTATTAATCAAAATAAATCATTTTTATTTTTGAGCAATAGAGATAAGGAAATGTAAAAAATGTGAACATACAAAAAATATGCCAAAAACAAAAAAACGACTTAGACATAACAAAGCAAATTCCTTGTATGTGTAAACCGGGTTATTAAACCGCTTCTGATTCTCATAAAGCCTCTAACTTGCTCACCATTTTGTCCTGAATCATCCAAATTAAATAACCAAAAGTGATTGAAGCAGAAAGAGCCAGATGACCCATGTTTTATTACACATCCTGTAGCTAACAGCTGACTCTCTCTGACGGGCGGGACCACAGCAGGGAAACTGTCTTCCTGTTCCAGAGCGATAAGACGGCAGCAGTTTGACAGGAATCTGCTTTTACACTGTTTCTTCTTCTACTGTTTTTTTTTAGGTTCTGTTGTTTCCCCGGAACCTATTCTCCAGCCTCTCCTGGTCCTCCTTCCAGATCTTCACGGAGATCTACGAGATCGACCTCACTGGAAACAAGGTGTCGGATGAATCCGGAATCAATGATATCTCTCATTTTAATTGATGTACATGTGTCTCTATCTCCTGTGTGTCCAGGTTCACTGAGGATATTGATATTGATATGAATCAATATTTATATCTGTACTTTTAGTCAAATCGCCCGAGTACTGAAATAACTAGGATGCAGAACATGAAGGAAGCGTGCTAGGAATGTAGGATGCACGTTGTGATTGTAGCCTGTTAGCAGGGAAAACCAATGAGTTAGCTTATTAAGATGTTAAGATGAAAATATAAAGTTAAGATAGGATGCAGAACAAGAAGGTACCTTATTGAGGTGTTAGGGTGTAGGACAAGGATCAATATTAATATCTCTTGTTTTAGTTGTCGTACATATTTAGTGTTTAAAGTTTCTTGACTTCCCGTGTCTCCAGGTTCCAGAGTTGACCCCGAGCTCCGCTCCGATCCTCCCCAGCCTCAGTGTCCTCCGGCTGGGGTCGAACCGCCTGACCTCCCTCCCTGATGGATCCTTCTCCGCCTGCCCGGCGCTGACTGAACTCTACCTGGAGGGCAACGCCGTGGTTTCTCTGAGCGACAACACCTTCTCCGGACTCAGCAAGCTGGAGGTCAGGCCGTCTGCTAGCAAGGGAGGATGCATGCTGAAGGATGTAGAAGGAAGCTTGTTAGGAAGTTAGGATCTACACCATGAAGGTAGCATCTAAGGAAGTTAGGACATACACCGTG